TATCTGTTTGCAACTGTTATCTTCCGTCCTCATTCGGCCAATGCTACTTTACAAAAACTTAGAAGAGTTATGTTCTTCAACACTTAAGTTGTATATTATCCTCCAAAGTATAACTGGATCTCCAAACATGTATCCCTTGGCAAGGTTTGCATAGTGTGAAGGCAAATGTTTGGACAGTGTGTTCAAGTCTGGCAGTACATCAGAGTTTCCTTCTCATCTGTCCTTATAGTCAGACACTGGGCTCCATGTTAGAAACTCATAGCGTTCTGCTGTCTGTATCCAGATGGACAGGAAGAAGCCCTTGGTCAAAGTCTATCCTTATGCTTGCTACACACATTCACACACAAGACTTAGCAGTATATTAATGCTGTCAATTCTCCTTGACACACTTAATATTGGCAGTGCTGACATGAGAGCAAGGGTCAATTTTACTTCTGCATCGGTGAGTAAATAAAAATCACAAGGGTAATTTTAGAGAAGGGCCAAATTAAGGAAACACATTAATATTTAATTTGCTTGTGTTTTTTTTATGTGTCAGACTGTGTCCAACTTCCCTGATTTCTATGCAGCTACTGACTTTTGCATCCTCAGCTTTGAAGTGAGATGCTCCAGATGAGAGAAGAGAGCACTTTGATGAGAGCATTATAAGATGATTATCTTTTCATTAATGAAAGAAGAAATAGTGGTGAAGAAAATATTGCTTTGTGTTTTTGTTTTTTTTTATTCCTTTCCCGTACTACGTTAAAGGAGCTTTCGATGTTTCTCTCACTTCTCTCACACTCACAGGATGCAGTACTGTGTGTGTGTGTATCCAACTTTGACTATCTGGAGAGTCTATTTAAGGTTTACTCCAAGCTGAATGCCACTCCTTTAATAACTGGAGTAATGATCAAATAAATAAAAACTTAATAGTTACACAATAATGAGTCTTGATGTGTGTCATACCAGACTTATGCTAATTAACATTAGTGACAAATTTAGATTATTTCTTCATAAACTAACAAGTAAGATCAATTCATATGTATAAGATCAGAAGATAGTAAAATAAACTGATTGTAGTGTCTAATGAGTCCAGTAGAAGCCAGAGAAAAACCTGGCATTTAGTTATAAAAACATAGATCTGTATGAATAGATTTGTTGAATTAATAGCCTAAAATCAGTAATTTCTTGAGGGGTAATTTCATCTGGTTAAAAAATTAATCATTTTAAACCTCAACTGCAGTTGCTTTTTTCCATTTATCACATTAAGAAATCGACCATTTATATTGCTTACACGTCTGAAAGCTAAAAAATGTCAACTAAATTGTAAATCTTACAAAGGAATGCTTTTCTAACTGGTCAAAAATTATACATCTTTCCACAATGATATTCCCTCCTCTTTTGTACTTCACTGGTTGCTATAGTTCCAGGTAACAGTCAACTATTATCACATTGGTGCTATCCTATCCAAGAAATATGCCCATTCTGCACTGTTATTGATATAATTCTAACATTGAACTGACTTGTAAGACTGGTCGGTTCAACAAGAAAAAACATATATATATATTTTTTTGGAAGGCTCAACTTAACCAGATAAATCATTTTAGCTAAAACACTATTGTCTTAACATTAACACTTTACTAAAACATTTCAGTCTAAATGATTAATGTTCTAACTTCAGAATAACACAAAGCAAAGGTATTTACCCAACGCACAATAAATTCTGATAGCTTGGTAAAACATAACATTTATCAGGGGGATACCAGATATAATGATTAATCAAATAAATTGATTAAAAAAAATTTTGTTTGAACTGATACTTTTTCAAATGTTCAGTTCTGTGAACAAAACCTTAAATACGTTAACTGTTCGAAACACATTCATTTTAAGCGTTTATTAAAACACGTTGACTGTAACAGGCTGATACAAACCTACTCGTGACTGGAACAGGTTCACTGACCTTATTAAACTGAAAGCACCAACAGCCAAGCTGTTGTTGTTGCTGTTTGGAAGGAAAGTTGAATCAAACCCCGAAATACAACGTGTTTTCAGACTCAAACGGGCCAGAAGGAAAATGCACACACTCATGCCTGAAAATCATAGTTTCCCTGGAAACGGTCCAGTAGCTCTATTAAGATATAATGAATGTGCTTTTTCCCACCCACACGTGAGAAGGTTTCATGTTACCATGGTGCCATCATTCTGTTTGTCCTGATTGGCCAAGAAGACAAGTTGATCTAGGGGAAAATACAGACAACAAAAAAGAAAAGATCCCAGATATGGCTAAATTTATATATACAATAAAACCCCTAATATGCTCAATTCCACTCCCAGTTATTGATGATTTACTTTAGCCAGATGCTAATACACCATTCATGTGACACTAATGTCCTTGCTCCACTTGAACCCAAATAGGGGCAGGAACAAAAATATTCATCAGATGCATACCTCTTTTGTACAAAACATACTTTGGTCAGTCAGTATCAAACGTGTTTGAAGCTAAATTGCATAAAAAATAAGCACCACAAAAAGAATTGTGAAAATATATCAAATCTATCTGTAGAATATGTGTAAGAATATTAAGTGTCCCAGTCTTTCAGACACCAATCTAGATATAATAATAATATAGAGAAAATCATCATTGAGAATCATTTACCAGAAAGTGTTGAAGTGCCACCTGCTGGAGTCTGACTACATCACAATATCAAGCAAAGAACAAATAAAAAAAGCATCTTCATTTCTGCAAACATGCCTAATAGAGGAGAAGAGAGGGAGTTTAAACCAAACAACTAAGCGACAAAATTCGACTAAAAGCACCTTTTATTTGTGTCTAAAAGTAAAGAGCCAAGTTAAACCCTAAACCAGAAATGAAACACAGCACTGTCCTATGATAAAAGACATGGGAGCCAGTTCCACAGTGTGTTTGACTTAGTGTTGTAATCATATAAAAATACATTAATATAAAGGAGACATAGGTACATGTACATAGGTACATTTTGATAGAACTGAACTCTGATTGCAACTGATTGGCACAATGGCCCTACTCTTAACCCCTTTAGGACCCCTCATAAAGTTAGTCCCTACACTATACCCTTCTTATGAAATCACTAACACCTAGCTGAGGGGCTCCTTGCTCAATATAATATAAAAAATTACAAACAAAAATGGTCATACTGATGAATTTAAAGGCAACGTTGGTTAGCACATCGACTCACAGCAAGAGGGTTCTGGCTCAAAATACATTTGACAAGACGCACATTCCAAAAAAGGTGAGTTTATGTCACCAAATGCTCCAATGATCCTATCGCTAATCTTAAATTAAAATGCAATGGAAATCTTTGTGTAATTGTGAGAAAAGTTTTACCCTTAAGGATATTATTTTTTCCATTCATTCTCCTGGAATTCTTAATTCCATAGCACTTTCATATCTATAGTTCTGAATTAAACAAAAATATTAACCCTTTAAAGCCTGATCCAAGAAAAATAGGAAGAATATTGGATTTTATTTAGTCTGAAGTCTTTCTTTGGCCCCTCAACAACATATGAAGAAAATAAAACAGAAATTATTTTGATCAAATTAGCGTGCAATAAGTCAAAAATATATTTAGGTGTATTCTTCTACTGGCTGTTATCAGATATATCTGAATGTGAACAACAGGGGTTTGAGCAAAGCTTTTACCACTGAATGATGCAAAAAGTCTCAGATCCAAAAGACTTCAGAAACCGTACGAATCAAATATGATACATATGGCATTATAGGGTTAAAGAGGTATATTAGATCATCAACTGCAAGATCACCAACAGGTGAAAATGGCTCTGCATTGACATTTTCATGATCAATTATTTATTTTGTGTTCTTAATAGGTAGTTTTCCCAGTTATTTTGCTCATTGAATGCTTTATGTTCTATATTTTTAAATGAAATGTTTTAACCTACACTTTGTATCGTATTTTAGCATCCTGATGTTATCATTCCCTCAACTTTTCCTCAGCTTTCTTTCTTCCGATTAAAATTGGGCTCCAATCCCTCCTTAAAGCGCATTTAGAATATAAATGGATAGATAAATGGCTTAGTTCAATCTTTTTCAGATCCTTCTTGTCATTGTTGGTATCCACTTCTTCTGGTTTTCTATAGTATTTAGGTCATTTATTTCTTTAAGTCTCTTTTCTGTTGTTTAGTTGTTTTTTTTTAAATACCGCCACTTTTGTTTGTTTATCTTAGTATGTACTTCGCTGTTAGATACCTGTTCTTCCAGAACTAGCTTTTTCAAATACTGCTTATCTTGTGGCAGTGTTTCCAGTTTCCTGCTGTTTTCCTGCTGTTTTCATCAGGCACTCAGTTTGAATTCTAGAGGATTGGTTTCATTGTGTTGAATTACTCTGCATTTTAACAACATATAAAACTTACAACATCTGAAGTAGCTCAAAAGTAACGAATACGTGGCATCAATTCATTGCTCCCATACAGGTGGCAGAAAAAAAGACACAATTACTAGAAAATGACGATATGTGAAAGCAGCTATTTCACCTCCTGGGGTCTTGCTTTAGTCAAAACTTGCTTCTAAACATCTCTTAATGCTATTTTGCACCATAACTATCCATAACAACACCAAAAAGACAGAAACATCCATTACCAGTCACTTGCATATTAGAATCCGGACAAGAAAGCCTACCTTCAAACTGTGTTTGGAACTAAATAAAGAATATTTTCTAATCTAGAAGAATAAAAACTAAAATCTCAATCTTACAACCTACTGGGTCAGTTTTGTGGTTGAAATTGGTTGTTTCCATCTTTACCATCCATGTCTTTCTTCTTGTCCTTTATCTTCTCTTTAAAAAAGAAATACTCCTTGTTACAAGTGACAAGTTTGACTCAGAAACCCTCTCCTTCATTCCTGCATCTTCATAGTCGGTTGAATGTTCCTTAGAATGAGCTTCTATGTGTTTATTGCTACATGTCACTTAGCACACTTTTCCTGTCTGACAGGGGGCGAGGCAAATATCCTTCCCCGAATAACATTTAGACACAACAACCAGGAAGAAGGCAAAAAATAGATCAATTCAGTGTGGAAAACATTGTCTAGAACCAATTTACTGTTGTCAAATGTCAAATTCAGGGGTAAAAAATGAGGATGTTAAAGGTTATATTTGATTTTGTATAAGTTAACAGAATAAAGTTAAACCTGATGGCTCATTCGTCGATGGCAAAACAAATATTTTTTTAAGTTAGGTCTTTACACAAACTTTCCGCTCTGAGAGACTGAGTTGCAAAACTAACGACTTTCTGTAACCGATGAGCTTTGAACTAGAAAAATGTGACTTTTACAAAGCAATAAAAAGCAACAGAACTGCAACCAGGTGTGCTGATATTGGTTTTTATCTCTTACAAAAAAGTGTGTGATCTAATTTAGAAACATATATATTCAGGACAGATTTTACCAGTCCAAAACGTTTGATTATTCTAGTTTTATTCACAGTGCATTCATTTAACTCTTATTTCTCTATATCGTTGTTTGTTTTGATATTGTATAGAAATCCACTGATTCAAATAAACCAAGTTTATGTTTTTAAGATTGATCAGTTTGTTTGACATTGGTGGGTTTTATGTGCCAGTCACAAGAGACAAACTGTTAAATGCAAATCAGATTTTCCTCCAAAGAGTATGTTTATGTCTATGAATATGCATTTAGCAGACGCTATCCATCCATCCATCCATCCATCCATGCATCCATCCATGCATCCATCCATCCATCCATCCATCCATCCATCCATCCATCCATCCATCCATCCATCCATCCATCCATCCAT